CCAAAAACTAATTACGTGTACATAATCTGTCACTTTTAAAAGAATTTTACCATATGACCTTTAATCGCACTCATCCCAACAGAGTCCCTTACGTGTTATGTTAATGACATGAGTGATCGCTTCCTTAACATTGCCCTGCACGCGTATATTCATCCACGATATACATGAGTCTTGATGCATTATTTCCATTATCTTAGGAGCGTCTGGATTAAGAACGAACTCACAATGTTTCCTTTTTAAAACTAAACGATGTATTTAAAAGGAAATCCCGCAGATTTCCTAAATCTGATTTATTAGAAAATTTTTCGTGTAAGACGACTTTGGAATGAAAACATCTATAATGAAATGTGCAATTCATATTACTGTGTTTTTGCTTATATTATTATTTTATAATTTTTTATTTGTACAGAATAGTTTATGTACCATGTATTTAGATGGAATTTACGAAAAATCATTACTTATTATAGACATGCGAATTTTAGTTCTTTTCATGTATTTGCATTAATGATTCTATGATAAAAAAAAGTTATATATATATATATATATATCTTTGCATCGCATTTTCTTTACCAATAAATGTTATTTGTGTTATAGGAAAATGCTATGCAAAAGTTTATATTAGTTTTGTTGTTTGTGCTGTAATTGAGAAATGCCGTGCAAAAATGTGTTAATGAATTCCGTTCTATCCTTATCTGGCAAACTGCCGACTATCTGGAATCGTAATAGTGAATAAATATTATTTCCAGCTGCTTATGTCATCAGTCTAACTGCCGTTGTTTCAACGGTTGACTTCTATTCTTATCGAAATAATAATAGAGAAGATTTAGTTGTGCCGGACTTAGGCCACGAAGGTATTCAAAAAATGTATTATCATCTCCTAACACCAAGTATAAAGCAACGAGAGCATCTACAACTGATTTCCTTATACTTGGACTTGAATCACCAAACCCCTGTACATTAGGTGCGTTATATAATCAGCAAAACATTAATTAAAAAAAAATAATAATAAATTTTTTTTTTTTTACGGAAATACTACACACCTTGATCGTCAATGGAACTATTATACCTATCTGCCTTTTCAAAGATCCTTTATCGAATCTCATAACTATTCGTGATAAAACTACAAAGGCGGATGCTTTCATCCTCGATTGCGCATCTGAATCCGCCTTATTCTTAAACAAGTTTGATTCCATGATATCGATAAGTGCATACAAACCAGCATTACTATCAATTCTTTGAACATAATTCTCCAGGATCTCTTCGGCATGAAAATAAATCTGCGCGTATCATTATAAAAACCAATATTTAACAAAATTATGTTACCGAATTTCAATCTTCAAAGGTCAGCATAGCAACTTACGGCATTAGATGATTCGGCCCGGCATTCAATTAAAACACGCAAGATATCTCTTTCAAGCCTTTGATTAAGAATGTAGTCGAATTGATTCTCGAGAAATTGGGCGAGTAATATTATTGCATTTTCTTTCATCTCCGAGTTTTCCTGTAAGAAATCAACAGAATAAATTTATTTTTTAGCAAGATGCATGCTGTTTTTAATGATTTACATTGAAATTAAAAAATCAAATAAGAACCGTTTCTGTCAAGAATCCTATTAAGGCGTTCATTAATTCCCCAAATCTTTCGCCATATTCCCAAATATCATCGGCAAGTTCTCTGTTTTTTAACGAAATTTCTTTGGATAACCGTGTCAATTTACGGAAAAGATAGTAATCTACTTCGTGATTATTCAAATGAGCCAACAAGGTTACAAGTAACAGTTTCCTCTCCTGAGTAGGGACAGGAAAAGATGAATCTATAAAGATATTTCGAGAGTGTATATCAAGTGTTAGAAACCGATTCCATATAACAGGTGATAAAATAACTGAAGGATATTGCATACTTTCGATATTTTTTAATGCGCGCTCACGAGCACTTGATACAGAATTTCTTTTGCTTGCAGTTGATGCAGAATTTCTTTTGCTTTCAGTTGATACAGACTGTGACGGTTCTTCCGTCATGGGTACTATAGTTGCCGAACTATCAGCGACAACTGTCGTCGAATCCTTCTTCTCTATTGAATCAGTTAAGTTGTTTACGTTGGAGGTATCAGAAACTGGGATATTCGCTTCAGTAGCCATGGTTTTCTGATCTTCGGAGTGTATTAGGGGTGTGGAATTATCTTTTTCTGATATTTTAATAATCGTATTCTTTCGTAGGGAAGTTCCTTCAGATGTGTTCAGTAATTCTGGAATTTCTACTTCTTGTATAGGAGACAATACCGCCTCTGCCTCGTTCCCGTTCTTGAATCTTTCTTCGGGATTTACAAAAAATGGGTTAATGGTTCCGTCTAAAGTATTCGAAAGTTGTTTCCACACATCATCGGTTATATAAATGCTTGTTCGATTTGATTTTTTTTCTACTAAATTATCTGAAGTGGATTCCTAGTACAAACGAAATTAAAAAACGTAAGAAATTAAACAAGAATGTTTGCATTTTTTAATTAATAAACCTTACTTCGTTCAATGAATTTTCCGTGACATCTGCGACCTCATTTAAATTTTTGAATTCTCGTTCATCCAAGTCCATTGCTCGATGTGTAACATGAGGTGGAGAGACGACTCTTTCCGTTTTCTGGGACTCTTTCTGTAAAGGACGGAGGGGAGAGCCCATTCGCTCCATCGGTTCACTCATAGATCTCTTTTCTTTATAGTTTTCTCGTGATTGAGCGAGCTCGAATTCACTGACACTATCGTTATCATCATACGGACCTTCACTGTATGTTTCTCTATCAGTTGTTTCAGTCCAATTACTGTCTTTTGACATTCGTCTCCCATTATTGTTCCATTCCATTCCTCTTGACCTACTATTGTTCCATTCCATGTCCTTCGGAGAAGGGCGTCTAATTCTTTCATCCCAGTGATTTTCCCAATGATTTTTTGGTGATGGTCGTGGCCCTCTACTATCCCATTCATTTTTGCGCGAATCTCTTGGGATTCTTTGACCTCTCTCATCCCATTCCGAATCTCTAACTCGTGATGTTCTCCTATCGTTTAAACTCTCCTTCGAGTCTTTTACTCGAAGACGATGAGATTTATCTTCATGTTCAAATATTCTCCTATCTCTTGGCGACGCTAAACTAGATCTATCATCCCAGTCGCTATCTCTGTTTTCTTTTTGTAATAATCGTATGCTTCTCTCACTTCTCTCACTTCTCTCGTCAAATTCTTTTTCCCTCAATTCTTTAGGTAGCGACCGATTACTTCGCTCATCCCATTCAGGTTCTCGATTTTTATAAATAGGGCGTCCCGTTTTTTCGTCCCATTCGAGATGTCTTGAAAACTCTCGTTCTCTATCTTGAGAGTTCCCACTCATACT